CCGTGATAGTAAAACACGCGCGCGTGGGCTCCTGGTCGCTGAAGAAGGGTGAGAAGAAGGGCGATCCGTAGAGCACGGATGTGCGATGCTTCGCGAGGGCCCGTGCGCGGGTCTTCGAGGTCGGCAGATGGCGTTGAATGGCGCGAATAAGGGGGAAATGTCCGGAAGGTGAGTGTATTGCGCCCTCGAGCGACGCGCGCAAGCGCGATTGGGACTCACCGGGACACCCCTCCCACAATATCCTTCCATCTGCCCTCCTCCTGCGGTGTCGCCGCCACCGGACCGCCGTCTCCTGCATGCGTGGATGCGCTCGTGAGCTGTGCTGATCCGGCGAGGTAGTGGGCAGCGGATGGGGCAAGGATGCACAATCGGCGCATCGCGTTGTGCGCGGGAAAGATGGTGGCGGTGAACGCTGAACGCGGCGCGATTCGCATGCCATAGCGGTGAAGCCCGCGCGGGCGAGCGGCGGGTCGTTGTGTAAGATGGGAAAAGAAGGGCGATCCGCGGAACGCGGGCCCGTGAGCGGGTCTTCGAGGTCAGCCGACGGCGCTGGGGTGGTAGAATGGGAGGGGAGATGCCTGGAAGGTGAGTGTATGCGCCCTCGGGCAATGCGCGACAGAGCGGTTGGGACTCACCTGTGGTACCCCTCCCACAGTATCCATTCCATCTGCCTTCCTCCTGCAGTGTCGCCATCGCCGAGTTGCCATCTCTTGTATGCGTTCGCGCGCTCGTGAGCCGTGGTGATCGGATGAGAGAGTGGGCGGCAGATGGGGCAGGCCTGCGTGATCAGCTCATCATGTTGGGCGCGAGGAAGGCGATGGCGGCGAACGAAAAACGCGGCGGGCTCGGACGCCATAGTGGTGAAGCACACGCGAGCAGGCGGCTGGTCGCTGCGTAGAGCGAGAAGAGACGGGTGCACGACGCCTAGCATGGGCTCGTTCGCGTATCTGCGAGGTAAGCAGAGCGCGCCGGGGTGGTCAAGCGAAAGAACCAGGACTCTGGAACGGTGATTGCGCCGTGGTGACGATCGATACATACAGACAGATTGGCACTCACCTGCCGCACCCCTCCAACCCACTTGGCCTCCTCCTGCGTCGCCGCCGATGCATCGCCATCTCTCGCATGTATCTGCGCGTTCGTGAGTCGTGGTGAAGGGACGAGGGCGTGTGCGGCAGACGGGGCAGGCCTGCACGACAGACTCATCGCGTTGGGCGCGGGACAGCGGCGGTGGCGAATGAAGAACACGGCTGGTTTGCACGCACGAGCGAGCGGCTAGTCGCTGTGTAAGGCGACAAGAGAGGGGCGATTTGCGAAGCGCGGCATCAGAATGCCTCGCATGGGCTCGCGCGCGGGTCTTCAACGCCGGTAGAACTCGCTAGGGTGGTCAAAAGAGAGGAGGGAGGACGACAACACTGTGAGTGCATGCGCCGCGGTGCGGCGCGCGATACAGACCGACGGCGACTCACCTGGTGTGTGCAAACGACCCCGCCTACGTCCGCTCTCGCCCACCTATGCGCTCCGTGAGATCCCCACCTCGCCCTCCTGCTGCGGCGCCGCTGGCGACGGTGGGCCGGCCTTGTAGACGTGCGCGCGTTCGTGACGCTATGTTGGCGGCGATGATAGCGTGGCCGTAC